AGCAGCACAATCTCTAGAAAAAGGTAGGACCTTGACAGAGATAGAGCTACAAAAGAACTACAAAAGCCATCAAGCTTAGGGAGAGCAGAGTGAAGGGATCCATCTTGTGTTTTTTCCTGAGGGAGTGGAGTGTGCATGTTGCAGGAGAGAGTCTGGACCTGGCAAAGAAGTGCTTATGGGCAGTGCACTGCATGCTTGGTGATCTGCATCAGTCAAGGGAACATCCAAACTGAGAGAAGTGGCCTACAGTACAGTGCCCACACTGACAGCGGGCAGTGCTCATCGTGAGGTGACCAGAGAGCCTTAGTCACAGGATCTGGTGAGAGGGATTATACCCACTGTCAGATGACAGGAACACTGCACACATACTGCATCATACCTTGCCCATATTCACCAGGCACTGGGTTGTGTAGATGGCCCTTCTAAACAGATACAGTAATTGCTATGTTATACAAATACTGCCAACGGATTACAATTATACTTTACCATAGGAGTTTAATTGCACCAATGAAAGTGGCTAGCTGAAGATCCCAAGATTCATTCTGTTACCAAGAGACTGAAGTTACTGGTGCCATACGGGCACGCTCATGTGTATTCAGGCCTCTATATTGTATGGTGTGTGAGGGAATAGCTTTATTTTGGAAAGTAGCTATTAAGCATCATTTGGGTACAGTGTTTGCCTATTGGGCTTGTGGTGTCGGGGTTAGAAGGGAGAAGTTTGACACAACAAAGAGTCACTCTTCTGCTCTCCTCCTGTTTGGACATCCTAGAGCTGAATCTATGTAGAGGAGGTAAATCCACTTTGAGGTTGCCATTTAAGTGTTTACCTCTGCTCTTGGGGTTATTCTTGGTTGGAATCCCTTGAAAGCAGCCTGAGTGTAAACATGAGTTATATTGCTTTCAGTCACAGTATTTGCTGTTCTCTTGATTCACCTAACGTATACTTGTTGTTAATGTGTATTACTTCCCATAGAGGTCTTACAGTAAAGCTGATCTCTGTGTTTTATTATAAAGTGTGTGCTTTTCATTGGTCCTTGCACTTACACTATTGCCAGGTGTGTCAGTTGGGGCTGAGACAGTTCTTGGGGTTGAGAGGCAGAGTGGCGGAGTGAACAAACTTAAGCACCCCTTCGGGGGTATCGCTACATAAGTATACAGAGACATTAAGTATACCAATAAAACATCGATCCGTGGTGCACATGCAGAAGTGCTGTGTTAGAATCGTTGTAGGCAGAACAGAGAATATCAAGGAAAGTCATGCATCTTGTCACATTTCGTGAAGCAATGTTCACTTCATTTGGAGATTTATTTTCTCTGATCAGGTATACAGCGGTTAAAAAGCAAACATATGGCATAAAACTGCTAATTGGGCGGGATGAGCATCAGGAAAAAAGCCCATGAGGAAAGCCTTGCCTGGGAGCTGTGGAAAAGGCACAAGGCCACCCAACTGCAGCATACAGAGGAACAGCGAGTGAACAGTAAGTGTCAAAGATGCTGATGCTTGGTGCCATCTGGAAGTGCTCTTATTTGGTGTTTTCCATCTATGACACTTAGCACTTAGGAGTTAATTTACTAAATTTGGAGAGTGCAAAATCTGGTGCAGTTGTGCATGGTAGCCAATTAGCTTCTAACTTCAGCTTGTTCAATTAATCTTTGAGAATTAAACATGGAAGCGGATTTGTTACTATGCAGAGTTGGATCAGTTTTAGCATTCTCCAGTTTTAGTAAATCTCCCCTCAATGGTTCACTCTTTTACACAGCTCCCAGGCAAGGCTTTCCTGATGGGTTTTTTCCTGTTGTGCATCCCACCCAACCACCAGTTTCGCTGCCATATGTTTGATTTTTAACTGGTTTATAGCGGTTCTGTAAAGAGCTGCATAAATAATCTGCATTATATAAATACCTGTAATAAATAAATAAATACATTAAGAAAGAACTAACTATATCATTTGTAACTAGAAATGGGCAGAGTGGGGATGGCATATTGATTTAGCCCTTAAAATAACAGCTTACATGAAATTTGCTTAGAAAAAAAATAATTTACTTGTTTTCCCATTTTATTTAGAGGGTGTTTTTTAGAAAGTTGTGTTTAGGGTAGTTTATTTTATTTCATTTAGTGCTCATTGTACTTGTGTTTTTTTTTTCTATAGTTGATCAGGTATTATTTCAGGTATTATATAAGATAGCGAGTCTACTGAAGGGTCATGTTTTTGCCACAAAAAAAGGTCCAGAATAGCTAAAAGAGCTTCCATAACCATCATGAGTCATTTAAAGCCCAGTGTACCCTTTACAACTATCAAAAGCCATCTTAATTTTGCCTTCCCTATTGACGCCAATTAATTTTGCTCTTCTATTTATTTTGCTCTTCTCTATTTATACATTTGTAGTACATGTACAAGGGTCAAAGTGTATTTTCTTATCCTGGCTCTGCTTACTGCTTAGTAGTGATGCAGGATATTTTGATATGCTGATCCTTCTTCATTTTACATTGGTATTGAAACCTATTGAGAGTTAATTTGTGTAAACAATGCTGCTTATTTTAAGACATATGCCGGTGTATATTTCAGAATCCCGATAACTTTTGTTGATCTGGACATATGATTAAAAATAGTATTAAGAAGTGATACCACATGGTGGTTCTAATTCTGTGAAGCTGTCCATAAAGTATGTAATTTCCCATGAAAATGTGTCAAATCAGTAAATTTTATTGTCACGCAAGAAGAACGTATAACTTAAAGCACAGCCATAACCTTTTTTTCATATTTTGGATAGAGTGGGGAGGGGGAGGGATATCTATCAACTTTGCTTATGATTTTAGAGAAAATGATATAAATATAAAGGATAAATCTTTGCCCTATATGTCCACATCCTCATAGTAAAACAGGAAAATTCTTGAAGCAATGGATTTTTTTCTAGACATATAAAAAATGGTAAAAGCAAATTCATAAAATCAAAAAAGTTTATTGTACAAGCATTAAATTGGTATATAGCACCACATCCAGTGTTTGCAAAATGACGTTCAAAAATCTTATTTCAATTCTAGCTCCAAAGCTAACATGTAGATGCTGAACTGAACTAAGATTTGTTAATACTGTATGTTTCTATATGCCCAGTAAAAAATCTATTGCTACAAGAATGTTTCTGTTTTAGAAAAAAGGAGGAAACACATTCTCATGTCCTCTCCCTTTGATGGCTGCTAGAACAGAAAGTGAGCAGAAATTCCAGCAGTGGAAGCATTGGCACATTTTTACTAAAGGAGGCATAGAACCTCTGCCAGCATATTATTGTAATCTGTGTCCACGTGAGGGACATTTGCACCTACACTTTTTGTCCAGTTAATGTGTCAGACAGACTAAGAAGGGCAGAGAAATCCGTAACAAAAGAAATAAAAAACACTTTGGATGGAGTTTGACTGAAAGTGTAACTGAGAACAAAGCGCTTTTTTATAATAATAGAGGGCAATGACCCTTGTCACTTTTTTTCCCATCTGCATCCTATAGGGGAGATTTCTGTTCACTTCCTGTCCCACACCCAAACAGGAAGTGAAAAGAAATCCCTCCAAAGTGAAGGAATCCTGGCATGTCACCAAGGTCTCCAGTGGAAGATTTCTGTCAGGAATGGACTGGCCAGCAATGGTGGGACTCACCTGCCTTGTGAGCTGCAGTAGTACCGGGGCTGGCCAGCGGGTGCTCCCAGCAATCAGAGACTCAACCTTGCAGCCAGTCAAACACCTGGAACTAATTATACTGGTGTATTTAAGGGACATTCAGACCTGCAGACTCGGCCTTGGTGTTGTGTTTTTCCTGGGCCCTGTATCTTGTTCCTGCATCCTGCTCCTGTCTTGTTGCTGACCCGGCTTGATTCTGACCTCTGCTGACTTCTCCTGTTCTGATCCCTGGCTTGTGACCCCGACCATTCTCTGCCTGACCCCCTGTACCTACCTGCCTGTTAGTTGCTGTACCCTGCTCGTGACCTGACTATTCTCCGCTTGCTCCCCCTGTACCTACCTGCCCAATTGATATTGACCCGGCCTGCCTGACGACGCTTGCACTGTATGTACTATTATCTGTGGGGTGGTTTGGTTTGGTTCGTTTGCACTGTGTTATGTTTTAGTATTGCACTGCGTTTATGTTTGTATTGTTAGTGTTAATAAATTGTTTATAACTTATCTGAAGTCTGCGTTTCCCTGCGTCAGTCACACACCTCTGGTCATACCCGGGAGCCCTGACATTACACCAAGGCCAATCCTGACCAGAAGTGGCTGCACAGGGAAGCCATCTTGGTTTGTTGATGGGAAGGATGGATCTGGATGAGGTTGCGTATTTATATCTGCTAGTGTTTGATGACAGGGAGTATGCTTATCAAACTCTGAAGGAGTATACCCGGGATGAACTGCTAGAATGTATACGGCTCGCTCATGTTCTAGTAGATCAGGGCAGTTCCTGCGTTTACATTGATTGCAGTGCCCCAGTAGTTAAAACCAGAAAAAAACGAAAATTCTTTCCAACCAGTACCATCCTGCCAGTATCCAAAACCGGTGAGCCTGTTCAACCGTCTGAGATTTGTTACACCTGCCTTCCGTGGTTCAGCCTGATGCCTCTCTTCAGCCTGAAGCCAGCTGCACTCTCTCTTCAGCCTGAAGCCTGTACTCAGTACCCTGAAGCCTGTACTCAGCCTGAAGCCTCTACTCAGCCCCTGAAGCCTCTACTCAGCCTGAAGCCTCTACTCAGCCTGAAGCCTCTACTCAGCCTGAAGCCTCTACTCAGCCTACTCAGCCTGAAGCCTCTACTCAGCCTGAAGCCTCTACTCAGCCTGAAGCCTCTACTCAGCCTGATGCCTCTACTCAGCCGGATGCCTCTACTCAGCCGGATGCTTCTACCCAGCATAATGAACTGATCCAGCCTGATGATCCTATTAGGCCAGTTGACTCGATGCCCGCTGTTGATCCAGATGATCCGGTGCCCGCTGTCGTGCCAATTGACTCAGAGCCCGCTGTCGTACCTGGTGACTCGGTGCCCACTGCCTTGCCAGATGACGCGGTGCCCGCTGGCGAGCCAAATGACCTGATGCCTGGTGACCCAGTGCCCGCTGTCATACCTGGTGACCCGATGCCCGCTGTCGAGCCAGACGATCCAATGCCTGGTGACCCGGTGCCCGCAGTCTTGCCAGACGACTCGGTGCCCGCAGTCTTGCCAGACGACTCGGTGCCCGCAGTCTTGCCAGACGACTCGGTGCCCGCAGTCTTGCCAGACGACTCGGTGCCCGCTGTTCCGCAGTTGACTCCATGCCCGCTGTTCTGCCAGTTGACTCGGTGCCCGCAGTCTTGCCAGACGACTCGGTGCCCGCAGTCTTGCCAGACGACTCGGTGCCCGCAGTCTTGCCAGACGACTCGGTGCCCGCAGTCTTGCCAGATGACTCGGTGCCCGCAGTCTTGCCAGTTGACTCGATGCCCGCTGTTCCGCCAGATGACTCGGTGCCCGCAGTCTTGCCAGACGACTCGGTGCCCACAGTCTTGCCAGACGACTCGGTGCCCGCAGTCTTGCCAGACGACTCGGTGCCCGCAGTCTTGCCAGACGACTCGGTGCCCGCAGTCTTGCCAGACGACTCGGTGCCCGCAGTCTTGCCAGACGACTCGGTGCCCGCAGTCTTGCCAGACGACTAGCAATTTTTTTGCTAGGTTAAAGCGACTCTGTTGCATAAGATAAAAAATAGAATAAAGCCATTTCTAAAAAGTAAGAAATTAATAATAACCTGTTCCACGGCCTAATTAACCTGAACTCAACTGCACTGAAGATCTAAGCTTACTGAAGAATGCTCAGCATTCTACACTTTTGGGAGTGTTGGATACTGACATTCCCCCACTGTGCTCTGTTATTTCCTTGATCAGCCCTATATCACTATAGGACACAAACCATGGCTGGAAAGAGCCACAGAACAGATCTGAGTAAATTACTCAACAAGCTTAAGCCCTCATACACACAGGATGTTTTAGCAGAAACAAACGCCTGACGCTTGTAAAAGTGTCTAACACTTCTACAAGAGTTTAGGAGCCTTTACAGGTGTCAAGTGCTTGGGTGTTAATTAATTTCATTGGCCAGAATAATAATTTATTCTGGCCATTGAAATTAATTAATGCTCAAGCAGGAAGCAGGAATGACTTACTCATAGCAGTGCACTCAACACAGTCTCTTTTCATCCTTAACTACTTGCTCTCCTGAGGATTTACCCCCCTTCCTGACCAGGCCTCTTTTGCTACTCGGCGCTGCACTAATTCAACTGATAATTGCGCGTCGGTCATGCAATGCTGCACCCAAATTAACTTACGTCCTTTTTTTTCACACAAATAGAGCTTTCTTTCGGTGGTATTTTATCACCTGTGCACTTTTTTTTTTCACGCTATAAACAAAAAAAGACTGAAAATTTTAAAGAAAAACAATATTTTTTACTTTCAGCTATAAAAAATATATAGTAAACTCAAAGTTAGTTATAAATTTAGGCCAAAACATATTCTGCTACATGTTTTTGGTAAAAAAAATCCCAATAAGTGTATATTGATTGCTTTGTGTGAAAGTTATATTGTCTACAAACTATGGTATAGATACTGCAATTTACGCCATATTTTTTTTCCTATGCAGCGCTGCGCTAGTTTAACGGACAATTGCGCGGTCATGCAATACGGTATATAAATGAAATTTATGTCCTTTTTTTCCACAAAAATAGAGCTTTCTTTTGGTGGTATTTGATCACCTGTGTGCTATTTTTTATTTTTGGTGCTATAAACAGAAAATTTTGAAGAAAATTAAAAAAAAACAAAAAAACAATTTTCTCATTTAGGTCATAAAAATATCCAAATAAACTAAAATTTTGTCATAAATTTAGGCCAAAATGTATTCTGCTACATGTTTTTTGTTAAATAAATCCCAGTAAGTGTATATTCATTGCTTTGTGTGAAAGTTATAGTGTCTACAAACTATGGTATAGATAATGGAATTTACACAGCTTTTACTTTCTGACTGCCCATCACATTTCTTGAGGTGCTAAAATACCAGGATAGTACAAAACACCCTCAAATTACCCCTTTTTGAAAAGTAGACACCCTAAGCTATCTGCTTAGAGGCATATTGAGTCCATGGAAGATTTATTTTTTTTCCACAAGTTTCTGGAAAATGACAAAAAATTTTTTTTTGTTTTTTTACACAAAGTTGTCATTTAAATGATTTATTTCTTGCACAAGCCATGGGTATATGTGGAATTACACCCAAAAATACATTCTGCTACTTCTACCGAGTGTGGCGATACAACGTGTGTGAGACTTTTTGGGAGCCTAGCCACATACAGGAGCCTGAAATCCAGTGACCACTTTGAAAGCCTGAAGGTGCGTAACTTCCTCATTACACTTCCTCACTACCTATCACAGTTTCAAAGGCCCTGACATACCAGGATAGCACCAAACCCCCCGAATGATCCCTTTCTGGAAAGCAGACACCCCAAGAAATTTAAAAAGAGGCATGGTGAGTATTTTGCAGATCTCATTTTTTCTCACAAGGTTTAGAAATATAAAAAAAGGATAGAAAAAATATGTTTTTTGTTTTTTTTCTTCATTTTCCAAAAACATGTGGCAACAAATGAGATCTGCAAAATACTTATCATGCTTCTTATCAAATTTCTTGGGGTGTCTACTTTCCAAAAAGGGGTCTGGAAGTGTGATAGGTAGTCTAATGAAGAAATAAAGCTCTTTAAAAACCTGAAGGTGCTTATTGGATTTTGGGGTCCTGTACTTGGCTAGACTGCCAACACGTCTCTCACATGTGGTACCCCCATACTCGGGAGAAGTAGCAGAATGTATTTTGGGGAGTAAATTCCACATATACAAATGGCATGTGTGAGCAGTAAATCATTTAAGTGACAATTTTATGTAAAAAAAAAATATTTTTTTTGTCATTTTCCAAAAACTTGTAAAAATAATAAATTCTTCTATTGAGTCAACATGCTCTCTCAGCAAATAGTTTGGGGTGTCTACTTTCCAAAAAGGGGTCATTTTGGGGGGTGGGGGCATTCTATGCCCATCATTAGAGGTTTATGTCAAACATCATTCACTCTTCTAACCACCTGAAGATCAAGCCTTTTCTGACACTTTTTGTTCACATGAAAAAAATCTGTATTTTTTGCTAGGAAATTAATTTAAACCCCCAAACATTATATATTTTTTTAAAGCAGACCCCCGATTGAAAAAAATGGTGGATACTACAATTTTTTATGGCACATAGTACTCACGCGCAGCAGTGATTTCTCAGAAGCAACTTTTTTTAAAAAATACACTTTTTTTTTTACTTTTAATGCACAAAAACACATATATTGGCCAATTATTTGGTAAAATATAAAAGATAATGATATGCCGAGTAAATAGATACCAAACATGACATGCTTTAAAACTGCGCATAGGGATGCCCCGTGCAATGGTGACATACTGCGTACCTTTTTAATATCCATTGGCAACACTTTAAAAGCTTTTAAAAAACTACCATTTTAGATTTACAGAGGAGGTCTAGTGTTAGAATTACTGCCCTTGATATGATGTTCACGGCAATACCTCACATGTATGGCGCAACCGCTGTTTACATACCGCAACAGGGTCAAGGCTTGTGCACACAGATGTGCAGGCATGGGAGGGGCGATTTTTTTTTTTTTAGTTATTTAGATTTTTATAATTATTTTTACACTGTACCTTTCATTTTTTTTTTTTTTTGATAACTTTTAATGCAGTGAATGCAAATATCATCACAGTGAATGCAAATATCCCCTATAACTTCAATGGGCATTGTCATAAATTCTTTTTTGAGAAATCTGGGGTCTATCAGAACTCTAGATATCTCCTCTGCCCTTACATTATCTAAGCAAACCAAAATCGGTGTGATCAGATGCTTTCCCAGTTTACAAATGGCGCTGTTTATATCCTGCAAAACTGAAGTGATGAAATGCTTGTAGCTTCCGAATTCTTAGACTATAGAGATGATTGCACCACTCTGGTCTCCAATCAGCTCTATGGTCAGCTGGCAGAAACACAGGCTGCATTCTCAGGTTCCCCCTGATGGTGCGGGACTGCCCGAGAAGGCCATGGAAGGCAGCGGGGGAGGGGGGGCATCATTTCCCACTGCTTGTAAAAGCAATCCTGCAGCTAATTAGCCACTAGGATTGGTTTTACATGAAAGCCGATCGCCGGCTGAAAAAAAATGATACCAGGATGATGTCTGCAGCTGTAGGCATCATCCTGGTATAACCATTCAAAGTCCAGTGATGTACCAGTACATCGATGGTCCTTGTTGGTTATATATACTATGTTCTTTTTTTTTTTGTATGCAGCCTGTGGACTGAATGAAAAAAAAGAGAAGAAATCTCTGCCAGAAAAAAGTGTGTGGTATGCCCACCATTAGAATATACCGCCCTGCATCCATCCACTTCTAATGGTGGGCACACATTAGGTCACACTTTGCCACATGCACCAGTTCCAAGATTGAACAAATGTCTAAATAGTGGAACGCTTGAATAAAAATTGTCCACGTATAAGTGGTACCCCATATGCAAAAAGGATAACACCAAGTCCCAAACTATCTTGCCACTGCTCCCCAAGTAGTCTGGGCATCCGGGCGGGCTCCATGTGACTATCTTTTCTCTCATAAATCTGAAACTTATAAGTATAGCCTGTTGCCCTCTCACAGGTCTTCTACATCTTGACCCCATATCTGGCATGCTTGCTGGGAGAAATTGTTTTGAATGCAAGGCGGCCAGAAAAATTAATGAGGGACTCATCAACGCAGATGTTTTGCTGGGGAGTATAGACATCTGCAAATTTTAGGTTAGGGTGATTTGCGAGGGCCTGATTTTTGTGGAGCCAATTAAATTCAGGGTTACCCCGAGGACCACAGAGTGTATTGTCATTAAAATGCATAAAACACATTATACTCTCATATCTATGCCTGGCCATGGCAGCAGCAGAGAACATGGGCATATGATGAATCGGGTCTGCGGACCAAAACAACCAAAATTCATTTCTTTTAGTAATGCCCATGTTGAGGGTTAGGCCCAAAAAAAAGTAAATTCGAAAACCGTAATGAGTTTCCATGCGACTGGTCTGGCAAGGTTTGAATTTTTGGGTTGGCGGCAATAAATTGTTGTGCATATAAATTGCTTTGATCCACAATCAACGCATACAGATATTCCGTGAGAAACAGCTCCAAAAATCAAGGGGAGTAGTTAAATTTGCTATTTCCACCTGAATTCCGGTTGGGTAGTGAATGGGGGAAGTACGGGTGCTGCAGAATTTGTGGGCTGTCAATTGGGATTTGCAAGCACATCCGGAAGGATACTAGAGCTCTATGGGCCTGTGTGCAAATACTTGGTGGCTGCGGGATAATACTTGTGCTCACCACCGCACCACCCTTGTACTGGACTTATGGGACTCACCACGTCGCCAACTCATACTGCAGTGCTGGTATTATTATTATACAGGATTTATGGAGCCAACAGTTTGCTCAGTGCTACAATATAACGGGAGACAATACAGTTCAATACAAGAGGGTTAGGAGGTCCTGGTCCTGGGAGCTTACAATCTAAGAGATACGTGAAAGACCGGGATGTACTACTA